GACCGTAGAATCGCTCAGTGGAAGCAATGTGTCAGTCAGTACCTTGGCATTACATTGTGGATAACACAGCTGATGTGATGTAACAGTACCCTACTCCGTTCCGGTTTTACAACAACCAATGCGAGTCAACCATTTTGTTTTTAACTCGTCTCATTCCCTGAAAATTAAGCAATTTTAAAGCTTCGTTTCAGGAAATTTTCGAGGAAACAGATAGAGAAATCTTTTCAAACGTGTTTGCAAAGATGGTTCTGGATAGGCTTTTTTCAAGTTGAAACCTGCTTTCACTAGTTTCCGTAAAGGTATGCTGTTTTAGGGATTAGTTGTTCACAATGCGTCATTGTCAGCTGATGAGCAAAACTCAGTGAGGATTGGTTAGACAACCCACCTTGCTCCACTTAGAGAAAACTCGGGTTGAAGAGAGTACCTTATTTGTTGTTCTAACCTGTCGTTCTCGCTGTTCTTTTAACCACAAATGCCCGCGCATTCAAGACAAACTGTCGTAAAAATAAGTGAATTTTGCCAATTTAGTAAAATTTCGATTCGAGTAAAACACACGGTCCACGAAAACCGGGGACGGCGCCAACCTAATGAACCACAAGAAAGACAAAAGTGGTTGTGAGCTGTTGAAGACTCCTCTTTTAAGAGGTGCGTCACATCTACAAACGGTACTGGCAATTGTCAAAGCACTCAGTATTCTTCTGAGCTGAAGGTTGTTTCAGTGGAAATGAAACTTTATCTACGATACCGAGTGGATGAACCGACTCTTTTTGGTGTGAATACGATCCACAGTCCAGTTCAAAGGCGTACTTCTAAATGAGAAAAAATGGCTTTACCGTAAGTAAAGTTCCAACTGTTTCACCGCAAATTAATTCGTTGTGCAAACTTATAAGATTTAATCAACAGTGTTTAATTAGCCTCACACAGCAAACAACCAAGAAAGCACTCCAAAATATACATTGTGTGTTTTAAAACGGTTCAATTATCTGTACCATTTTCAAATTTGCGGGTGAAAAGGCTTGTTTGGCCTTGTGTAGATTCTTAATTCTATTAGAACAGCAAAAATGTCCGTACCCACCTCATCGTCCATCAACTGTCCTGTTTGGAACGCAAGAAATGAGCTGATGTCATTCTTAAATAGGCCAAGCAAGACTGCTTTAAATGACGAAAAGTTTTTTTGTATGATATTCTGGTTTGTTTTTCACAGTTAAAACAGTCCCTTCGATTAGAAAACACTAAATTTAAAACCAAAAACTATGAAGAACACATTTTTGCAACTGTATGTTTGTGTAGACTCGGTTCAGCTTCAGAGAACCTCGGTACTAGAGACGTCCCTCAGTGGGCAAGTGCACACAAGGAGGCGGAAATATTCACAGCCAAATTGAAAAACACGTAATGGTGACTCCTCAACCGAGTCTGGTAAAAATCTGGTCCTTAAAAGAGATGATAGTTGAATTGCAAGCGACAGTAATGATTCCTTAACTTGAGTGTATCTTTGCATCATTTTCAAATTTTTGAGATGCGATCACCACTAGCCACTTGTGCTGTTTCAAATGTCCCCCCTCCCTCAAGGAGAAGACGCATCTTCTATCTGAAACCAGTCCGAGTGTTCCCTGTGATTGCCCTTCGTTCAGGATAGGAAGGAGACTCATGTCAGAGAGACATGGAATCAATGCTAAAGTAATCAGTGGAAGATAGCTTTTGTGAAGAACTAACTCATCTCAGAACTAGAGACAAGCAAATTGTTGGAAAACACTTAAAGCAAACTTGGATAGCTTGTTCGTATTGTCCACAAATAGTTTCATACTGTATAGAAATAGAATTTCGTATTGTTCCTTAACTTTTGTTTCTTTTAACGCTTATCCACTGTTTAGGTGCTCTCTTGAGGGTTTTGGATAGAGGTGGTACTGTACTTCCGTTTTTTTTACTGAGTTTTAGGCTCTTAAGATTCCATTGTATTCACTGTCGGAGAGGACGATTGGCCGTATGGGTGAGTCACAGATGTGATTCCGTCTGGTAAACTGATTTCGTTATTGACGAGACGATTCGATAAAGCAACACCTAACGAATGTTTATATCACTCCGCACTACACTATATTCTGATAGCATAATGATAGCAAACTGTACTAAAATGTATTATGTCATTTCATGTCATGTCATATAATACCGTAACGAACAATACTGTATGGTGTCACGTTACACACTTAATTCTCGGCTTACTCCTTAGTTCGTGGCTGCGTGCCTTTTACACCGTCACGCATTTATAGGTAACTACAATGCTTCTGGTGTCGCAATTACGGAAAAGAATGCAAGTTCAAGTAGAACATAAGGTTGACGAAAACTCGGAGACTGCGCCTACCTGGTGAGCCCCAAACTCACAAAGTATAGATGACACATTATCAAGTCCGCTCAAAGAAACAAAGCGGCCACACCAGTGTTCTATCTTTAAAACTATCCTTCGTCATCGTCATCATCATCATTGACAGCATGACATCAGTGTTCAACACCGATGCTTCACTGCCGTATTTAAACTATCCTTACGCTCTCCTGGTTAAGATGGACCTTAAAAAATACGGTGATCTGATCGATTTCGCTAAATCTTCGTAAATTGTTTATAGCACCGCTGGGACGGACGCTGAGCTTAACGACAGTGGGTTTCCGCACATGGCGGAGAACCTAGCCGAACTCTCGGATCTTAGCCTGAACTTAACATTCACACTTATTTAATTTTCAGTGTCCACTAGTGAAAAAAGGCAACTAGAGATTGAAGCAGATTTGCTGCAAATCTATCAACAACATTTCCATTATCGTCATAAATCTATTTGATGAAATCAAACTATTGGGTTGTTCCAATGGCCCGTTTGGTTGCTGGCGCGTATTTTACTGACAAAAATTGGATCACACTTTTTAACATGTGCATCCCGCATTCGCGGTTGAAGTCGTAGACTACGTGAAAGGCGCAAAGCAAAAACGCACTGATGGCATCACATAACCCTCGTTGTTCATTGCAAGAACACAAGGGGCGCTTTGAAGTTATTCCTGGGTTAGACTCGCACTGGCCTACGGGATTTTGGGCGAGATGAGTCAAGTGGTTAGAGCACGAATTTACTGACCGGAGAATCCGTGGTTCGAACCCGACCCCTGCCTCTCGACTTCCCCTGTCTAGGCTTGGGCAACCTGGCAGTATTCCAGACCTCGTGCAACCTTCGGGTGGCATGGCAGCTAGGCACCGAAAGGGTGTTACAGCTGAACGCACTAGGACTGGGCTGGACTATAAGCTTCGCTCGAAACATCAGTAAGCATAAAGGTAGAGACAGAACAATCAAGTTCCGAGAACAACTGCGCCGCAGCGTCGCATCACAGTTAGGGTATTGACTGGCATGATGACATTAAGGGGAAGTTATAAGGGTAAGTGTGATTCCCATTTGTGGTTAACTGTCCGGATGGTCAGTCTTACTGTGATTCATTGGCTCAAACTCTAATCAGTCGACGACCCACGAGATTGGCCACCCTGACTACAACTCAATGACCCTAGTTTCATCGATTACGTGGGGGTCTAATGGAGTGATGACATAACTTCCTCTCCCCGGTTGCACTCGAACAAACTTATTCCTTGCAGTTTGTTTCTGATATCACACCTCATTTTGTGGCCAACGTGGGGTCTGCTGAAACTCCATGTACGGAATTCGTTGTTTGGAATAAGCCAAGCAGTTGTACACTGGTCTGAGAACTTGCGGACGATGCTGTCTGATAAGCCTCAATGAGGGTGAAATCGTTGGTGAGTGGTCGAAGAGTTTACATCAGTCCTACAAGTAACCTGTCCTTAAGATCTTAGGGAATGTTTTGAGGTCAATTCTGGCCGACTTTATCAAACAGACGATGGTGGAATGTTGCAATTACTTCCGTGATAAGTCTGTAATCACACAGTCTGACTATAGCCCATTGGTTTGACGAAAGAATAGTGCTCTTCATAGGGAGGCAAATCATTGGGACCTTAGAGAATGCGAGACGATTTTGACATATCAAAAAGTGGAACAGCGAGGTGCTAAAACGTCATCACTTATAAATCTTGACCGAATTCCTCTCAGAAGAGTGACCTATATGGATGAATTGCGACACTGTTAAATCAAACTGATCTCGGTCAGATCCATGAAACTTTTTAGTCTTACCTTTCAGGTCTGTCTAACGTTGAAAGAGTACCTATGACGATCCTTGCGGAAAGAGGCCGTCTCCCACGTAAAGATTTCTTATTCTCACCTTTTCAAGCGACATTCTGTGTTTGGTTTACATATAAGCTATTCCACTGGGTCAGCTTAATAGACGGACGCGAGCCTTCAAATATCAAGATGAAGAACACATAGGAGATAGTTGTGATACCAGTGAAAGGAAGAAGGTCTTAGCTGCGGAGTTACTTATTAGGAAATGCCAACTGACCAGTTACAGACTATTGGACAGGGAAGCAAAACTCCCATATGCATCTTATTTACAAAAACTGAAAGTCCATCTTCTCTTGAACTTTCCTGGATATTCATTGAGTGTTGCTCAAGTCCAAGCAAATGCTACAAAGCGAGTTCACATTTCCCGCAATAGATATCCCTTTTCAAGGGAATTTACAAGAAGAAAACATACTGTTCGCATGCCTCCCCCATCAGTAGTATCACCGTTACACCAGTTTTGTGGTAACCGGAAGGCGCTGTCACCACTCGAGAGAGAAAGCATTCCGACAACACTAAATTTGTATCCATCGACTGCGGTTTTTGAAATGCAACAAGCAAAGGTTGTTTCATACCAGATTAGGGGTGTTTTCGAACTATTTCACTACGTTAGCGAAATACACTCATCTGCAAACTGATTTGGTTTTGCGAGAGACTGACCTGGAACCCAGCTAAATCTCTCGTTTGTGATGCTTCGAAGTAACTGAATGTTCTGCATCAGGCCACCTTATGTTTCATTTGGTGCGCTATTCCAGATATCGCGATACATGTACATATGTAATGTACTACTCATAAGGTTGTTGGAAATTCTTCGACAGCCCACGACCGGTTTCGCCGTTCTTGGGGCTCATCAGCTAGGCGAAGTCCCCGAGTTTCCGTCAACCTTATGTTCTACTTGAAACCAAATTGCACGAAATCAGCGAACTACCTACATTTGGAGACAAAGTTGGTGTTGTGAGAAACTCACAAGGAACCAAGCTAAATCGCTCGTTTGTGATGTTCCCAAGCAACTGATGGTGCTGCACCAGGCCGTCCCTAGGAACTGCATCTACCTGATGAACCCCGAAAAGGGCGAAACCGGTTCTGGGCTCTCGAAATATTTTCAGCAAGCTTATGAGTAGTGCATTACGTATATTTCACTAGGTGGTTTTGAAAATGGATCTTAGATAACTAATCTTTAAAAGCTTATGCGCTTTTTGTGCGTCTCCATCTTGGCCATTTGCTGGTAACTGGTTTCTATCTTGGTCTAATGGTGATAATAAGCTCTGTTATGCGCATGCAAGCTACATAAGCGTTTATTTAACCAAACACGAAAATAAAACGACTGCATTTTGCTAAAAGCAAAAGGTCAATAGAGCCGAGTGGCTTAAGGCATTTCGGTTTTTCTGTACATATTCGGGCCCAGCGCCGCACCGCACACTGATGATGAACCACGATTTAGGACGAAACTTCTGCAAGTAAATTGCCAAGCTCGGCGAATGAATCAAATCACCTGATCTGCAGAAAACCGTCAATTTCCTATAAACTGTCATTAAAAATGGCATGTATTGGCACATGTATTCTATTGGTTATAACGGGATATTTTGCCAGCTGAAATTTTATTGGTTCACGCTGTTCACGTATACTAGCTGGATGACACGGACATCAGAAAAGTTTTTGACAATTAGACTACTAGGAAACCTACGAGTACCAAGAAATTCCTATACTTTTCTGATGGCCTTCAGTGCGATCAACTTACTGCAAAATGGGGTGTTCGTGCTGCACTGTGCGGCTATGACGCAACGATTGACCTTGTATATGTTCATCCAGGTGTCACATGACATCATGTTGTGAGCTGGAAATGAAAAGAAATGTCATTTAGAATAATAAGATGGCAAGCACACAAATGTTACGAGATAGTAGAATTTCCCTAATTCATTTCGTTGACAAAGGTAGAACATGATATCCTCAGATAATATAACTTGTGTGGTTCTGACATCCAGCGTTACTGTAGGTGTAGATGTGGTGCAATAATTTTTTAGGTGAGGTCTTGGTTTGGGCAAAGCGTTCCCAGGAGAATCACTTCACAAAAACGCCAACAGATTCTGCGTTTGGATGGTCGCCGAATTTGAAACGTCTGAGTAGAGTAGACGATATAACCTGTTTCAGCAATTCCTACTGATGGTATTGAACTGATTTCAGTCTGGTACCTCGCTTGTTGAACCTGTTTTCGAAAATACTTGTAGGCCCACTACAAAAACACAGGTCCGCTCTACTTGCTTCCATCATAGTTGCGAGAATTGTGAATGTATGCCTGACGTATAAACTAGAGTTGTTGGGCACGCTTATGAATTCGGCTTGGAGCGAAAACATGCCTAACTGAGTGCTTGGTTGGGATCAGCGTTGTCTTCTTAGTTGATTTAATCCCACTATTCCAGGAAGGTGCTCCACGGAAGCGTTCTTACTACTCTGATATTTTTTTACATTAGTACTGATCTTGTGACCACTTTCAGATTCTACCTCACAAAATCTGTCCAAGTAATGGCTCTGTGGGGAACGTTTGACCCGCCCATTTCCTAGTCGTTCCACTTGCAATATAACACTCCGTTGTTGACGCTTCTCATGTCAGGGACAGGTAGTTGATGAAAGAAATATCACATTACTTTAGCACGAACTCACTGACAACACAGTACTGATGTCGTCGCCAATACCGACTGCAATATATCGATGGGGGCGTGCCAAGAATTCGCCTTTCTCCATTGGAAAAATCAGTTCTTGGACTGTTTTTTAGTGAGTTGGCGAATCAGGTAGATATTCTGTTTCGTCACAGAAATAGTGCAGTGCTTATGACCGCTTCGCTTTAGAAATCATTTAGATCGAAGTTAGAAGGTAGAAGAACCTCATCAACGGAAGAATCTGTCCTGGAGTTCAAATAGCGTTTACCAGGCGCACTGTATCTATGGTCTGTACAACGGAAACCTCCACATATACGCTACTGAAAGGTTCGTAAAGCCTAATCAGGCCCAAGAGTATTTCAAAAAAGAACACTGGTTAACATTTCTATGAAGTACGAAACTGTGCCTTGGGATCTTTGGCGAAGCAATGCTTTGGAGATATTTCTGCGTACTGCGAAAACACGTTTCCTTTGAAACCCTTTCACAACTTAGAGGGAACCGTTATTTTTGTGTTCAATTTGTTTCCGAAGAGAATACAGTAAGCCATCTTAATGTCCACAGATGTAAACCTCTCACGGACTAACGATTTCATTGAAGACTCATTTTCAGCTGACGAATGTCGTTCCAAGTAAATGAGGTTCTGGAAAGCCTTACAGCAACAGCAATAATGTACACATTATGCTCTTCTGATTGGACAATAGCATCGAGGAATTCGTACCTGAGAAAGGCTTCCTAGATCTAAGTAAGTTTAGACGATGGTTACAATATCATATAGATTAGTCACCTTTGCTTGCGTCGAAAATATTCACTAAGAGTTCACAACTTTTCACCGTAAGACAGAACACTACCTAAGTTGTTTGTATTAGAGGAGTTATACTGCCAATTTTGTCATCTATGACAACTAAATGTACACGACGAATAGAAGTCTTAAATGGTCTTCAATAGAAATTCAGAAAGATGGTGCATTTTCTATGATGGCTTGAGGTCAGTCACCCGTGAATTAACTAAAACTGAAACCGATTTATCATTAATTAAAGACGGAAATTATACTCTTTCAGAAACAGTTCACTTATCACCCTTGACTTAGGAAACACTTGGCTCCCATCAGTAAGCAACTATGGTTTGGGTGGAGTAATAGATTCTCCGGCACTCCTAGGGTCAAGTATGGACCAGATAAAATCAGCGAGGTTTCTTAGTAAAACGGACAACGAATAAGGAGGTCCATAAGCTTTCCGTTGGGCTACTCACTCAGCTCTAGTGTGCGCTACATTTACTACTGTCCTGTTCTTTGTTCTCCCAGAGAACTCAGATAACGGTGACTTAGGCCTATCACTAATGGCACTGATGGGTTCAATAACACGATGAGCGACATACTGGCCGTACGCTGAAGAATTGAGGCCTTTAGATGTGAAATCTCTCAAACAAAATGATCATTGTCCTTACTCAACTACAAGCCACTTACTCTGAGTTCTCCCAGGACGAGAATTCCCGGAAGGAAACCTCGAAATGAATATCACCAGATTCATATCATAGCTCTGTATTCAGTGCGAAGCTGGTTTCATAAATAAGCTGGTTTCAGTAAATAGTAACAACTGAAATGATTTTGTCTTAAAATGGGAAACTTTGGATACTCTCATTAGTTGAGATAGAAAATTGTCAACAGTAGACGGTCCGAAACAGTAAACTACCAGTTTGCGTTCAGTTATAATAAGAACACTTACTGCAGTTTTCACAATGCATTGCATCGTAGCATTCAAATGGTATGCGGTTTCTCGTCATCACTGGCCGAGAAAATCGTTCCATGGACCAAACTGACACCAGATTAAGCAACAAAAAGAACAGCATGCTCACCAGGCTGAATTTCAACTGTTTTGTCCGCTTTTATCCTGTCTGTTTACCGTTTCATTGCATTTTAGCTTTGGTTAGAAGGTCACCACAGTGCTGGCCACATCAACCGAGTTGTAAGTGGCTAAAATGACCTTGAGTTGTTGTGGTGGATAGTTCGAAGCAAAAATGCAGACAATGCAGACTGCTTTGACAGGATATCTAACTGAATTCCAAATTCAACTGACAAGCTGAGTATAAGCCTGATTTGAATAAATTCCAGTATATTCGTATGATTGCACATATTGTTCAATGTGGCTACTCAAAATAATTTAGTTTCATGTGCAACGGCAACTTTAGTTGTTTGCAAAATCAACACAAAGGGCTGACTTGGATAGAAGTGATCAGAATCAGGCCTGGAGAAAGCAGACCAGTAGTCGGATCAAGTCTGTGAGCTCCTGCCAAGCTCTGTGATGTGACAACGATTCAGGCATATCTTGTAGTCAGACATTTGGACGTGCATAGTGTAAGCCTTGCAAGCAATGACAGAGTCAATATTTAACCGACTGTCATTGGTTGATTAAGGATAGAATGGAGTTGCCCGGCGTAAACTGTACCTTAAGGATAACAACCCCTCAAGAGTGCGCACCTACTCAGAGGAAAGAGCTGGACAGACAGATTACCATAACAAAGGTTTTAGAACGAGGGATGAGAGTTTGTACCTTTGGTGATATCCGTGCCTCGTTTTTCCTGAAGTAACACTAATTTTCGAAAACTCCTCGACCGGATTCGCTCTTCCTGGTGATCGTCAGGTGATGGCGGCCCCGAGTTTTCATCAATTCTATGTTTTATTTAGACGAAACTCGAACAGAATTTGTCAAAATCTCTCGTTTGCACATTAGTTTTGTTTTGGCGGGAGACTCAGCGGAACCCAACTGAATCTCTAGTCTATGGTATTCTTCAACGGAATGCGCTTCTGAAGATTATAACAAACGACCGTCAGCTGGATTTTGGTCGAAGTTGTCATCAAAACCAAGCTGATGTGCAAATTACTATTCTTTCCCCAATTTTCTGCACTTCCGCTAAAGGATGTTAAACTTTTACTAAGCATGAATCAATATTAGAATAGATTTCTGAACAGTAGACCGTCATATGTGGATGCCACAGTAAGCCTGACGTGTAAACATTAGGGTGATCGAAAATTCAAAATGCAAATGAGCCTCACAACATTGAAAATGTTTGTTTTTTCTCCTGGAATTAACTCAGTCAAACCTCTATCCCAGAGCCCTGTTATTCAAAATTATAAGCAAGGATGGATTCCACCGTAGATAACCAAATCGGTTATCTTTATTTTTGCGTCCTTTTTCCTGAAAATTCCTTCTGCCAGTTCAGTATTGAATAGAGCTTGAGAGCCTTGAACAACGGCCAAAAATCACGGAGACGTTCAGAATAGTACCAGCGGAGTAATGACGGACATCTGGATGCCGAACGTCTCTTTCGGTGAATAAGTGACCTAGCTGACCTTGAAAGTGGCATGAATTTGACAAGAAACATTACGATTTAGCCAATCGTCTTTAAGGGAGGGATAATCTCCCCTCATGCATGAAGTTCTCAAGCCGCAATGGGGACTGGAGATGAGGGTGTGACACCACACAGTCGAGGTGACGAGGTATGAGGCCAAATGCGTCTGCCACCGATTAGTACACGAAACCGCAATTTTTTCGCCACTGCTAGTAAGAAGCATCTTGAGCACAGGCTATTCACTATAGCATTTCAGTCAAGTATGTGAGCTTGTAAGAGAATATTGCTAATACACGGAAGAGATGAAAACGTATGTTTTGCTCAGAGCTCAGCATAAGGTTTGAATCATTGAGTTTCGAGATCCTTGTGGCTTCATAAACTGGTGATATTGGTCTCAAGACGTTCATAATGGTCAAAATGGCTTTAAGCCTAAACCGAAAGAAACCCACTCACTCTAACAACTGTATATATTTTACTAGCTACCACTTAGCTCCTTCAGAGATACCACCACCACCACCACACTTATCGGATTCTTGTATATAATGCCGCTCTAAAAGTCTATGGATAAAAAGAAAATTGATCAGCGAAGAAGACCGCTCGTGCAAATTAAAAAATTTGTAGTGCGAATTTCCGGTCCATACAGTTTACAGCGTCTGCTGACGTCGGGTTCCGTGATTCTTCATAGATTGAGCAATCCAAGTTCAAATATGCGTGAATAACTGAGTTTAGTGCGAATGTATCTGATCGGCTAATAGTATGACTCTCTTTCTGTGCAAATTTCGAGCACGGACTGGAGTGTGTGTCGTTTCATCATCGATCTTATTAGACTACAGCAGGCAGCACTGATTGCTAGGATCAATCAATAACTTTGAATGTTTCGTGTCACATGCAGGTACGTTACTGGACGTCTGACGAGGCGAGATAATCTGTCCCAAATTATCTAACTAGCTTTCGCTCTTCCAAACAATTACGTTGCTATGCAGTTATTCTTTGTTTCCGCTCAAAAAACGAAGAGTCGTTGGTGCTGCAACAACAAACACCTCTCACACATAGGCGGGCATCTTCAAACGAAGCCATCGCTACGGATGCCTCCAAATTTAAGCTATTTCAGATGCGCAGTGACAGAGTTTCTTGAGAGGAATTTCTCATTGATTGAAAAGCGAAAATGCGTTACGCATAAGTAAAACAGACCACTTTTTGCATGAGCTTGAAATGGCCGGGTGTGCAAGCTGAGGCATACTGACCAACTTGTTCTTGTTTCGAACCCAACCTCGGCATCTCGACTGCTCCTGTCTAGGTTTGGGTAACTTGGAAGTATCTCATTTCTTTTATCTTCCTTCAAGTGACATGGCAGCTAAGCGCGGAATAAGCACCTTATGGAAGCAACGGACAAGAATGGATGACACAGAGATCGGTCTCAGTTGATCAGGTGAAGTCGGATGTGGGACCTTCGGAACTAGCGTAATACGGGCTCTACACAGATGTGGAGGACAACCCCCAGATAACAAAATAAGTTGAAATACCCAGCGAGCACATTAGCATTGAACCGGCGGAGCGTCTTGGGTGTGACCTTGTCCAGACCTGGGGACGAATTGCCCGTTAAACGGATCGTACGGCCAACTTGCTCTCCTGTAATTGGCTCGATTAAGCTCCAGTCGGATGGTACTACCATGCGACTTGGTCGGCTATCCGCGTGTTTTGGAGCCATCGCTACAGATGCCTCCAAATTTAAGCTATTTCAGATGCGCAGTGACAGAGTTTCTTGAGAGGAACTTCTCATTGATTGAAAAGCGAAAATGCGTTATGCATAAGTAAAACAGACCACTTTTTGCATGAGCTTGAAATGGCCCGGTGTTCAAGCTGAGGCATACTGACCAAATTGTTCTTGTTTCGAACCCAACCTCGGCATCTCGACTGCTCCTGTCTAGGTTTGGGTAACTTGGAAGTATCTCATCTCTTTTATCTTCCTTCAAGTGGCATGGCAGCTAGGTGCGGAAATGGTGTTACAGTCGGTCAATGCCATCACAGATACTGTCTGACTTCAATCCATTCGAACCGTGACATTAAAAATACTGCGCTGTGTGTGCCTCACTTTTTAGCAAGTGAAGAATACCAACAAGCGTACGGCAGTCTTTTCAGAACCGTTTTTTATTTGCAAAACTAGTAGCACCATTGGGAATGACTTTTCGCCATTCCTGCCTGGAAAGATTTACCTAGAAAAAAGGCTTTAGGTGAGTCCACGCTAGTAAAATTTGCAGCAAGAGGGAAAGCATTTTGAGGAGTGGAGGACTTAAGGCTCATAGTCTATCCGGTTCTTGCGGGGCTTAGACCACCTTGCGCACCATGTTAGCAACCGACTACGAGGGAGGCGGTTACACGTCACGTCGTTCAGTATGACGTGCAACAAGCTCTCTTGTTATCACATACCTAAGTTGTTCTATGTAGAAGCTATCGTAAGAGGAATTAAAGGTATACTCTTGACCGACGGGGTCATTTGGCTTTTAGATGTCATATGAATTTCTTAATTTAATTTCTTAATCTAAAGCTAATAATAGTTGTTACAGAAAAACTGTGAGCATAGTTATTGCTGTAGCTGTTAAGTTTAACAAACTGCTCGTAATAGGTCATGCTAACTAGCAAAACGCAAAAGGCTGATTGGTTTACACAAGCGTAGCAATGAAATTCCGGAAACTGAAAACAAATCATGAAGAGTACATCTCAGTTGTACTGCTGTCTGAAACCAGGAACGTCGGTCATGAGGATGCTGATGCAACCGCTGGGGACGGTGCCACCTATGTCTGCTTCTAAAGTCCTTTATGAATCAATCTACTAGAGCCTGATACTCCCTTTTATTGCTCTGGTGTAACGCTATAATCTGACTAAGGCGGTTACTAATCAACGCCTTAAAGCATCGACAATTTTTTTACAGATAATTATGTACAGTAAACCACTTACGAGGACAAACATCTCACGTGTACTACGGGCAATATTGGCTGACCAGTTCGAAAGTGGCCAGCGTCAGTAGTTCCAAGCCAACGACGACCGATATATGTTTGTTTTCCTTCCGACTGCTTGTTTGGTATTATCACCGTAAACCTTTGTATGATGAGACCCGTCCAAAGTGATCGCTGATGGCTGATGTCGTCGGGCTCTTGTTGTGTCTTTCATTGACTTATTTCGCACCTTTCCTTCATTTGGAGCCCCGAATTACTGTTCTAATCATCCAAACCGTTTCTCTCAATCCTAGATATGATACAAAACCCACTTTAATCCGTGAGCAAGTCCTCTAGAGTTCCGCATGAGATGGACTTTTGCTCTAAAATGCAGCTCACCTTAGACACCAGCTACTCATCTGTTAAGCACACAAGCGATTAATAGTAGTCAAAACATATCTACGGGAGAGTCCAGAGGACAGTGCAGGGTTTCATTGTTAAACACACAAGCGAGTAATAGTAATCAAAACATATCTATGGGAGAGTCCAGAGGACAGCTTTTATTCATTGTCAATGTTATGGAATGTAAGTAGCTCGGGTGCGCTGCTTGGCAGAGTTTGGCAGTAGGATTGCAAGCGTTTCATCACCAATCGAGGCGACATCGTCAATGCAGGGTTTCAGCTCATCATCATTTGTCTTGTTGCATATACCGACCAGAATCTGCGCGCATGAACAAGGTTCCCGTTTGCATAATATCCGCATATCACGTCGTGCTGGTTAGTTATAAGGTTTTGAATGTCAGATGTCGCACAGAATTTAAAATCCAAAGTACTGGTGGAAACATAAAGGCTGGTTGTCAAAAAACCTCGTCGCGCCAATTACTCCCTCTGACCCCAAAAGAAAACGCTTAGAGTCGTCGGGGAGACCCGGATATTATTACCAGGCGTCCGCCTGTTGCTTTAGTAAACAGTTAACCACGGTCGCTTAAAAGATAGTCTAGATAAGTGGACGATAAGAAGGCAGCGGGTGCGACGACATGACTCGAATAAGTCTCCGAGGCTCAGCCACGTGACCATGAATTTAATGAACGCAGAGCTTTTCATTTAGGTTATCTCAGTTGTAGAGAGACGTCTCCGAGGCTCAGTCACGTGACCCTGAATTTAACGAACGCAGGGCTTTCCATTTAGGTTATCTCAGTTGTAGAGAGACTGTCGAACGATATCAAGGAATGTGTATTATCATTTAGCCTAGTGACACCGCGCGATCTGTTTCTGTGCTCCAGTGGTCTTTATCGCGTTGCAGTTGTACAAACACTGCCCACGAATGGTTGTTTAGACGTAAATACCCCTTATTCCAGTGACGTGAACGGACCGTAAAAATAAACCTTTATTGTGCTGTCACACTGGTATCACTAATCGGCTGTGCTGGGCTCGTGCGGCAACGCTTGTAGCGGTCACCTCAGGCCATGTGTTCATGCATGGCTGACACAGACATACACTGGATAACCAAGAAAACCACGACGAAACGCTCTGGAATGGTGAGAATAATGAACAAGTTCATCTAGCAAAGTATCATTCAGCCTGAACACGGAAAGGTGGACAGATTTGAAATTAGCGCCAGTAAAAAACATGCATAAGTCTGTAGTAACAACAGAATTTGAGACGAAATTGTGAAGACACCATCGATGTAAGAGAGACGAGGACTTGGAAAATATTCAATCTAGAGTCAAGCAATGTCAACATCAGGCCCAATTAGGCTGTCACGTGACGAGTTCGCAAAAATTAAACCATTAGACAGAGGAGTGACGAATCAGCGCGAGCTCAAGTGCACATGTACCAAGGGGACATTGTCCACGGCAGCCCATTTATTAGACTTGCTCGGTAAGCAACAAGTCATGGATGAGCTTCCAGTCCGAGGGTTCCGTAGTTTCTTTGTATTTTTATACGCTGTGGTTTTCTGGTCGAGGAGTAGGCAGACAAGTCATCTGTACAATTCCGAGCGACGAGCATTTCTTCGGGTGAAGTTCAATGGTGTGGCTGATCCCCTGGGTGAAAATGAAGGCATGTCTGATGTCCTGTGTCCTAGTAAGGTAAAATGTCCATTATCTTACCTGCCTCACGGGTGTTCAGGCACGTTGCTTTTTCTCTACTCAACATATCCTGTCGATAACAATGCTACAATAGCACACAAGTCAATGGGATTACCACAGTGTTACGTTTTCAGCTTTTTGGTTTTATAATTCCCTCATTCGAATCAACATGTTTTAGCTCTTCGTTCATTTTCTCTAGCAGAAGGCACGAGAACATTGTATGGTTCCAATTCATTGGAATCTAGGTTTTATGCCACCTTCCGCCTCATGGTCATTCAACATCAACCGTGAGCAATGAAATACACACATTCGTTTACAAATTAGATTGGTTTTATTGAATGACTCAACGGAACTTCTTGAACTGAATGTGGTGCATGAAGACCACCTGTTGTTTCAGTCGCCGACATATTCGGGTTATTTGTTTCTTTGGAACCCCCTTGATTCTTAGGACTCCCTAACAGGTCATCGTTTGCAATCAAATTGCCCAACTCAGCGAACAAGCCGGCGCTACCTGATCCAGCAACATTTTTCTCTTTAGAAAAAGAAATATATTGTAAATTCAATGTCCTGCACCCTAGCTCTCCAGAACTTGACTGAAGGACAATTTTTGGATTAAAGAAACGATAAAGGAAAGAAAGAAGCGGTAAAGTATTTCTGGCTGTGTTTCAAAATCCGTTTACCTTGCTATGATCCTGTAATTATTCCGCCTTCAGTAAGTCAGCAGAAGCCTTGCTGTTAAATCCTATCCCTTTTGCTCTTGTGCACTGGACGTAAGGAAACACAGCAGCCTGTTAGTTTAATTAGACCTACGTTTCTGATACGTTTAGCTTACCACACCCTCAGTCAACCGGGCTCGAAACTGTTTTCCGCCATTTCCTGTTAAAAGTAAAACCAGATAAATTAGAAGGCGCTATTTGGAATGATAGCGTAAAATATAAACAAGGGAAAACTATTCATAGAGAGGTGGATTCGAACCTATTATGCCTGAGCTGGTCCGGGAAATGTCACCTTGTCAATCTCTTTTCCCATATAGGTCTAGCTTGGGTAGATGGCTGAACGTAAGGCTGATGGCTCATAAAATGAACGTTATGTAAGTGCACGCCGAGCAATGGGTGAGAGGAAGAGGTCTTTCACTGCGGCGCTGCTTGTTAAGAAACACCAACAGAGAAATCAAACATTATTGGACAGGAGAGCAAAATTCTCATATGCATCTTGTTTATAAAAATCGCGTATCCGTCTTCTTCTTGAACGCGTCTTTTTAAACCTTCCTGGATACTCTTTGACTGTCACGAAAATGCATAAGATTGCTACAAAGTAATTCCACACATTTCTTAATAAATCCCACTTTCCAATAGACGAGGAGCGGGGTTACGAAAAAACATATTACTCGCATACCTCAACAGCAGTATCCACTGTTGCACGACACGCTGAATTTCGTTCAGCAAACTCAAGAAACCCAAAATTCATGAATTACCCTGTAGGTTTAGACATTCAGACTGATGTTTGTGGACTGGGAATGAAACGCTCCCTGCCAGACTCTGTGTTAGGAATACAAAGGGAAAATTTTAGGTTTTACAGGTCTCTGATTACAGGTTCCATTGTTCCGTGTCCAAATCCTTAATTTGGCTTTTGATAATGGGTCTCTGATTGTTGTATTTTTACTAATTCCACAGACCAAGCAGTTGC